GTCCCTTGGTGGTTGTCCATGCATGGTGGTGCGATGCCCGATGAGCAACACCAACTAGGGCCACCCTCTGATGGTGCAGGTACGACAAAAAGGGCCATTGTTTGTCAATGGTATCACACCTTGTCGTATCAGAGGCCATGGATGCAGCCAGCGCCTCTTTTCCATAGAGACAACTCCACCTTTCTCTATCACGTATTCATCACTATAACAGAGTTTGGCTTACTGAGATATAACCCTTCGTGACTTGGCAAATTAGTGGGAGTGCTCTTTCGATTCCAAATAGTTTATGCTTCAGCCATGGACAAAGTTAGCCATTGTTGTCCTTCCGGCTATGAGAAAGCTATTCATGGCAGACCCTGCGATACTTGTGAGACATGACCAATGACCATGCACCTCATTACTCTTGCATATTGAGGGACAAAATTACCGATCGTCGATAATCCCAACTTATGACATATTTCTTCCATGATTCATGCGTTAGTAGGTATCCTTGACCAATGATGCTTAGATCGAGACAACGATATCACAACACACATTAATATTTCTCACTCTCTGTCTTGGCATAATGCCAGCCATATATAGCAACAGCATACAAATGCTCGCCATGGCCATAGGATAAAAGAGCGCAGCCATGATCATCCTCGTTATCCCTTTTCAAACACAAAGGAGTATCCTTATTTGCTGCACATGTTTGTATATTCTATACTTAAATATTCAAACAAATACTTACCAATATTTTACCTTCACTGTAGATGGGCATGAACCCATGAATCGAAACTCATGGGAATTATTCGAGATAAACTTTGGGACTAGTGGTTTGGTAGGCATGGATAGGTGAATGTTGCCCATCAGGTGAAGCAAGGTATCCACACCCAACAAAGCTTAGGGCTGGCGATGTTGCCCAACTTTGCCAAAAAGGGTTGGGTGGCAAAAACATGAAAGTGAACTTGATTCCTGAAACAATACCTTTTAATGATAACCAAGAGCTTGAAATCTTGTGAGAGATTAACCAAAGATGTTATTTTCGCCTCCATCAGCAGCCTGCAGCTATATTCAATGGAAAGGTGATTGCACAAGTTATGTTATATTGGGAATTGCTGAAAATGTTACTCTTTGCTTGTCGAATCCTCTTAAAAATCTTGTGCAGAACTTGGGAATTCTACCAAAATCTTGTGCAGATGTTATTTTGCCAGCTACACTCAAGTATTTGCCCAAAATTGGAATTCTATATGGTTGGAGGGAATTGCCAAAAATAAGTAATTTCTAATTCTTCGCCAAAACCATTGGCAATTCATAATATCACTGCCAGAAAGTTGTTAATAGTGCCCAGAGCTACTCAAAGCTTGACAACTGACCCAAATCTACATAGTAAGTTACTGAACAGCTTTGACCTATTGACCTAAAAATTACAAAAAATACCACTACACATATATATATATAT